GACAAACCAAGAAACAGATGGCTAACTATAGAGAACACACTATTGGGCACTAGAGGGGAGGTGGGTGGGGATAGGTGAGACAGATGATGGGGATTAATGAGGGAACTGGTCATGATGAGCACTGTGTAATGTACAGAATTGTTGAATCTCTATACTGTACACCTAAAGCTAATATAACACTGTATGTTAACTATTCTTCAATTAAAATTTTAAAATGAACAAAAAACCCTACTGGGTGGTATTCATCTCTTGATTGGACCCAGTATTAACATGCACACATACAGACACATAGACAAACACAGCCACTTGTGTATAGAGTAATAAATCATGACCAAGTACAGTCCATTCCCAGAGTACAAGGATTGGCTTAACATTTGAAATTAATATAATTTAACATATTAACAGAATAAAGAAGAATAAATGACACAATTATTTCTATTGATAATTGACATGAAGATAAAGCATTTATCAAAATTCAATACTCATTTATGATTCTAAAAAAATCTCAGGAACCGTGGAAGGGAAATTCAGCCAGCAGATAAAAGACATCACCAACACTTTTTCTTTAAAAGATTAATTAATTTATTTAAAGACAGTGCACACAAGCAGGGAGAGGGAAGGAGGGAAAGGAAGAGGGAGAGAATCTCAAGCAGACTTCCTGCTGAGTATGAAGCCTGATGCATGGCTTGATCTCATGACCCTGAGATTATGACCTGAGCTGAAATCAAGAGCTGACTGCTTAAGTGACTGAGCCACTAGATGCCCCATCAACACTCTTATATAGTTAATATTCCTGGAAAAATACTGAACACTTTTACCCTAAGGATGTCTGGTCTTACCACTCTTATTTAACATAGTACTGGATGCGTTAGCCAGTGTAGCATGGCAGGAAAAACAAATGAATAAACGTATCGATTGGAAAGAAAAAAAATATAACTATCCCTACAACATGATTTTCTATATAGAAAATCCGAAGAAACCCAGAAAACAAATACTTTGAGCTAATGAATACTTTATCAAGGCTAGGATACGCTAATTTAAAAAGAAATCAATTTTTTAATATAATGGCAGCAAATAACTTGAAAATAGTATTCAAATTTTATGATGCCATCAGATATAAAAATAGGAAAAAAATAACAAAAGATATGTAAGATCTGTATCTTAAATACTATAAAACACTGCTAAGAGAAATTAAAGAAGACCTAAATAAATAGAAAGATCAGGTTCATGGATTCCAAGACTCAAAAGTGTTAGTTTGTTAGTTATCACCAAAATGATCTCTACATTCAAAGCAATCCCAGTCATAACCCTAACAGGCTTTTTCCTAAAAATTGACAAGCTGATTTTAAGATATATATGGAAATATAAAGAATCTAGAACAAGGGCTGGCAAAATCTGGTCTGTGGGCCAAATCCAGCCCACTGCCCATTTTTATAAGTAATATTTATTGAAACAGGCACACTCATTCATTTATATATTGTTTGTGGCTGCTATTTTGCTTCCATAACAGTATTTAGTAGTTGTGATAAAGAACATTTGACCCCATTTACTATCTAGTCCTTTACAAAAAAATTTGTAGACCTCTAATCTAGAATATCCACAATGATCTTGAAAAAGAACAAAGTTGACAAACATATTATCTGACATTATTACTGTAAACCTGCAGTAGCCAAGACATTGTGGAACTGTAATAAGGAACCACAAATAGATAATGGAATCAAATAGAGCTCCCAGAGACAAACCTACATTTATATGATCTTTTGATTTTTTTAAAGATTTATTTGTTTATTTGAGGGAGAGAGAGAGACAGAGAGAGTGAGAGGGAAAGAGAGAGAGTGAGCACAAGCAGGGGGAGGAGCAGAGGGAGAGGGAGAAAGAATCCACAGGCAGGTTCCCTGCTGAGTGTGGAGCCTGATGTGGGACTTGATCCTGTGACCCTGAGATCATGACCTGAGCTGAAATGAAGAGTCAGAGGCTCAACTGACTGAGCCACCCAGGCGCCCTGGTCATTTGATTTTTGACAAAGTTGCAAAGGCAATCCAATGGGGGGAAAGGAAGTTCTTTTCAACAAATGAGGCTATCTGGATATCCATATATAAAAATATGAACTTCTACCTATACCTCATAACACAGAAAAAATTTGAGATAGATCACAGATTTAGATGTAAAAAAATAAAACTATAACACCTTTAGAAAACAGAATCTCATCATGTCATGGGAGCAGTCAAAGATTTTTTTTTTTTACCATTTTTATGTTTTATTTATTTTTTTGTGTTTTTTTATTGGAGTTTGATTTTTAAAAAGAGTTTATTTATTTATTCATGAGAGACACACACACACACACACAGAGGCAGAGACACAAGCAGAGGGAGAAGCAGGCTCCACGCCGGGGGCCCGATGTGGGACTCGATCCCGGAACTCCAGGATCACGCCCTGGGCTGAAGGCAGGTGCTGAGCCACCCAGGTGTCCCTTGGAGTTCAATTTGCCAACATATAGCATAACACCCAGTGCTCATCCCATAAAGTGTCCCCCTCAGTGCCCATCACTCAGTCACCCCATCCCCCCACCCGCCTCCCCTTCCACTACCCCTTATTTGTTTCCTAGAGTTAGGAGTCTCTCTCATGGTTTGTCTCCCTGTCTAATTTTTCCCATTCAGTTCCCCTCCTTTCCCTTATAATCCCTTTCACTATTTCTTATATTCCCCGTATGAGTGAAACCATATAATGTTTGACTGATACCCACCATTTGCTTTGACATGGAAAGATTTCTTATATGGATCACAGAAACAATAATCATTTAAAAAACTAGCCAATTGTATTAAAATTAAAACTTTCTGCTTATAAAAACACTGTTAAAAATAAATAGGTAAGCTACAGATTAGAAAATAATATTCCTAAAACATATACCAGGTAAGAAATAGTGACTAGGGTATGTAAAGAACTCCTAGAACTCAATAATGATAACCCAATGAAAAAATGGCAAAAGATATAACCAGATACTTCAGAAAATAAGATATATGAAAGGCCAATAAGCACATGGAAAGATGCTCAACATCATCAGTCCTCAAAAAAATTGCAAATCAAACCCCAAAGAGATAACCACACTAATGGCTAACACTATTAAGATTGACAACACCAAATATTAGCAAGGATATGGAGCAGCTATAACTCTCATACATTGTTAATGACAATGTAAAATAAAACAACTACTTTAGTAAAAGTTCTGGCAATTGCTTATGAAATTGAACACTCACCTACTTTATGACCTAGCAGTTCCACTCCTAGCTGTTTACGTGAGTAAAATGAAAACATGTATCTACAAAAATCCTTTTTTCTATGAATGCTCATGGCAGTTTTAATCATTATAACCCTGAATCAGAAACATTACAGGTGTTTATTCATAAAAAATCGGATTTATTCAATGGTATGAATTTCAAGAACAGGCAAAACAAATCTATGGTGGCAAAAATCAAAACAGTGATCTCCTCTAGGGGGAGTGTGCAGGGTTGGACTGGGAAGGGGTATAAGGGGACTTCCTACAGTGATGGTAATATTATGTATCTTATAGGGGTTTGGGTTATATAGGTATATGCATTTATCAAAACTCAGCAAGTGTATATTTGATATTCAAAATATAATCGTATGTAAATTTTATTTCAAAATTAAAAATTTGTAAACAAATATTGAACTCTGTTTAAAGATGTTAATATGGAAGTATTTAGGGGGACATGTAGTCATATCTACACTGTACTTTTTTTTACAATGTACTTTGAAATGCATCAAAAATAAGATTAACTGACAGATATATAGATAAACAGATAATAAAACAAGCATAGGAATACTTCCTGGTAGAACCTAGGTGGTAGGTCTATGGGTTTTACTGTAAATGCTTTCAACTTTTCAATATGTTTAAAAATGTTTACAGGGCAGCCTGGGTGGCTCAGCAGTTTGGCACTGCTTTCAGCCCAGGGCCTGATCCTAGAGACCTGGGATCGAGTCCCATGTCAGGCTCCCTGCATGGAGCCTGCTTCTCCCTCTGCCTGTGTCTCTGCCTCTCTCTCTCTCTCTCTCTCTCTCTCTCTCTCTCTCTCTCTCTGCGTCTCTCATGGGCAAAAATAAAATCTTTTTAAAAATGCTTACTATCAAATGTTGGGAAAAATATTGTGTATGTACTCATTGTTCTAGGGAATGGCGATACAAGAGATGACTAAGGTGGTGTTTTTCAGAATAGGTTATCCAATGGAAATGGATTAGCATTTGTGTAGTTCATGTTGCCATCCACGGACACAGGCAGGGGCAATGATTTATTTTTATCTTTACAACACGGTGTGGAGAAGTAAGCTTAGAAATGAGTGGAGATGATGAATTCAATTTTGAATATGATGTGCTTTGCGATCGTATAAGATATCTAAGTGGCAATATCTAGTAGACTATTGGATATACACGTCAGGAGATTTGCATAAATCTGGGCTACCGATAAATGTTGTGGTTGTCATGCCTTTGGGTACTCTAGCTGTTTGGTCAGTGAGCACAATTTAGTAACTTTTAAATTTTATTTATTTTTTAAAAATTTTTATTTATTTATGATAGTCACACACACAGAGAGAGAGACAGAGGCAGAGACATAAGCAGAGGGAGAAGCAGGCTCCATGCACCGGGAGCCCGACGTGGGATTCGATCCTGGGTCTCCAGGATCGCGCCCTGGGCCAAAGGCAGGCGCCAAACCGCTGCGCCACCCAGGGATCCCAACTTTTTAATTTTAATAGTGTCTTCATTTTAAAATACTATCTCAAATATCTGCTCCCCTCAAATCTAGTATTCTTTACCTGTTGGCCTATTTTTCCATGGGAAGTACAATAAGAACAGAAATTGCACTAGTAAAAAGCTATAAAATAGCAAGATTAAAATGGTCAATATAAGAATTTTAGGGATTTTCATTAGGCTAATAATTTGAAGGTTAATAATTAGTAAAAACATTACACTGGTTCTTTGGTACTCACCTGATCAAATAGAGCTCTTTATTCCATGGGTAGATATTTAAGACTGGCCCAACCCCAATCATGTGGTTGTGACATTCTCCAACATTTTCAATATATTCATGCTTCAATGGCACTTTGGTGAGGAGTTCAAATTCCTCAGGTGCCTTTTGAAGTACCTGTTCTGCTGCATAGAATCCATCTACCAGCAATGTCCTCCCACCTGTTCCTTCATGCTTAAGACAGTGAAACACTTGAATGCTAAAGAGAGAAAAAAATTAAATTCTTCTGTTCAGGGGAGAAAAGAGAGCATATAAAAATATTTAAAAATTATATATGAAAAATTAATAAATCTACTTATACCATTTTCATTTCTAGATTAATCATCTTCCCTAATAGCCAGTTGTACTTTTTTGTGCTTTGATATATCAACGCCACTACAGGTTTCTTCTAAACATATTCAATATTAATTAAAACTTGTATGCGCCAGATCCTGGGGATACAGTCATGACTAAGATATAGTTTCTGTTTTAAAAAAATTACACAGTCTAGTAGGAAAACATGAGGCAAATAAATAACAGTAAAATATGACAGGCACTATAATCAAATTGTATGCAAGATAGAGGGTCCATAAAGAAAGAACATTATTTACAAAGTATATTTAAGGAAGAGGGCAAGAAGTTCCTGTCAGTAAAGCACAGAGAATTATGAAAGGATTTTATTTTTCTTAAATTTTTTTATGATAGTCACACACACAGAGAGAGATATTCTTAAGTTCCAAATCCTTAAAGAAAATCAATGTAACCACAATCAATTGCATATTATCACCCTCTCATATTATCTTTATAAATACATATGTACACTCACTTTACTAATATCTTTGTGCCTCAGGCTCATCATCTATATGCAGAAGCAAGATCAATAACAAAAACTACAGAGGTACCGCTAATAACTGGGAAATGGTAGGTAAATTAAAAATGGCATTTATCATGTCACATGATTATCATCTCATTTTTGTGGTGAGAAAATTTAAGATCCACTCTCTGTTAACTAAAGTGGTGATAATATTATAATATATAACCATTGTATACCTTAAATTTATATGTTATATGTCAATTATATCTTAGTAAAGCTAGGGGAAAACGTATGGTATATTTTTGGCTCAGCAGCTTCTGAGTCCATGTGAAAAAAGGGTTTTAAAATTAATTCCTTCTCTCCAACTTCTTACAAATTGGATTCAAATTCCTGTTAATACCAGCCCAAAGCAGCTGTGTTTAGAAGATTGATCCTGTTTCAATATAACTAAATATAGGAAAACTGTACAATTCCAAAATTAACTATTAGACTTTTTTTGGTAAGTTGTTGGTAATTACTTAGACAAAAATATAAATTAAACCAAATTTAGATCCATTTATGTAGTAATGTGTATTTTCAATCACTTAAAAAAATTCTTCTTCTTCTAAGTCCAAAGAAGACTGAGCTAGAGTATTTCAAAATTATCATGTTTCTAAGAGAAGAAAAAGAAACAGTCACACACGTCATCATCAGCAGATATGATCTTGGTTCAAACAGAATGGAAAATGATTAAGGAATTATTCAAGACCATCACATGTAAAGACCCTATATATGGAAAATTCTAATCCACTTACCCACAGGGCTCTTGAAAATAGGTAGTGTCAGTGTGCCGATCCAAAGCCAGCTTGGTGTATGCGGTGTCACCCCTGGAGAAGTCTGAAGTGAAATACCACATCCTCCCATAGATGGTTTCTCTGTCAAAGCAAATGAAGGACGACTTAAGTATTTAAAATTTTTATTCCTGTCTTTCATAACTCTAGTAACTTCTTTATTCAGAAGTAACAAAATATTTTTTGGCTTCAGATTTCCATGTTTAAGGTGTAGATGACAGTTGAACACACCACCAGTCTTAACAATCTGTCACTGATTAATATTCTAGGAAGTTGGGGGGCAAACTGTGAAAGTAGAGTTGACCCTTGAACAACACAGGTTTCAACTGCATGGATCCACCCATACGTGGATTTTTTTCTATACAGATGTTATTATAAATATATTTTCTCTTTCTTATTATTTTCCTAATAATAGTTTTTATTCCCTAGTTTACTTTATTGTAAGAATACAGTATATAATACATACAACATATAGAATATGTGCTCATTGATTATGTTATTGGTAAAACTTCTAGTCAGCAGTAAACTATTACTAATTAAGTTCTGGAGAGTCAAAAGTCATACATGAATTTTCTACTGTGTGGGGGTGGGGAAGGTCAGTTCCCCTAACCCACACATTGTTCAAGGGTCAACTGTATAATGTAGTCTGAAAGCTTAGGGGATTTTCCCCCTCTGTTTATGTGCCTACTTTTAATAGCTTTCACATTCACGGTTTTTTCCTGTGCTCACCTTCCTTGCATAGAAAAAGATGTCTTATGCAGATGCTTTTAGAAGTGAGTAATGTAGATCCTCACCCATCTATTGGACATGGAGGAATAAGAAAAAGAGAAAAGGATAGTTCATGTTAGCAAGTATTTAATGAAATGCTGTATCACTGTTGTCTTATCTCTCCTTAAGGCATACATCATAAATTTTGATTTTATAGTTTTTTCCTGATGGCTTATAGCTGACCAAAGGTCATTTTAATTCTTTAGCTTTCAGAGTTCATCTTATTTTTTGAACCCTCAGGGTCCAAACAGGAAATAGTCATCCTCAGGAACTATGATCTCTAAAGCCCTCTCGATTGATTGTTTACCAGCACAGCTTCCTTTTTTGAAAGTTCTCAAAGTGTTTTTGAAACTGAATGGTTCAAAAAATGTTGATTATGCTACACCAGGATACGGGAAATGACCCAGAATTCTACTTGCTATACAATTAGTGATATCTGGCCCATATTAAGTAAAAATATGTTTACATCACCTGTATTACTATAGAAGATCAATCTATATATTACCTAGAAATGCAGACTGGCAAGTGGAAACAGCACTGTATTCAGGATCAGGAAATCTGAGCCATCTGAATCTCAGTTCTCTTTTTTTAAACTTAAAAAAGAGACATTTATTTATTTTATAGAGAGCTATGGAGGGTGGAGGGGGAGGCAGAGAGAGAGGGAGAGAGAATCTCATGTCAGCTCCATGGCCAGTGCAGAGCCTGACACAGGGCTCAATCACAACCCTGAGATTGTGACCTGACCTGAAATCAAGAGTCAGATGCTTAACAGACTGAGCCATGCAAGCACCCCTCACTTCTCTTTAACTGAACCTTTTACTAGTGAACGTCTTCTGTTAGCACTGTTATATACACATACCATTTTTAAAAATGATTTTATTTATTTGAGAGAGAGAGAGAGAAAGAGGGAGAGGAGGAGCAGGGGAGGGGCAGAGGGAGAAGCAGGCTCTCTGCTGAGCAGGGACACCAATGCTGGGCTAGATTCTAGGACCTTGGGGTCATGACCTGAACTGAAGGCAGAAGCTTAACCAACTGAGCCATCCAGGTGCTCCTACACCACAATATTAGATTTTAAAAAATATTTATTTACATTCCAGTTAGATAACAAACATTGTAGTATCAGTGTCAGGTGTACAATACAGTGATTGAACACTTCCATAAATCACCCAGTGCTCTCAGAACAAGTGTCCTCTCACCCACTCCCTGTCCACCTCCCCTCTGGTGACCATAGTGTGTTCTCTATAGTTAAGAGTCTATTTCTTGGTCAGCCTCTCTCCCTCTTTTCCTTTTCTCATGTGTTTTTTTTCTTAAATTCCACATATGAGAGAAATCATATGGTATTTGTCTTTCTCTCACTTATTTCACTAAGTATAATACTCTCTAGATCCATCCACGTCATTGTAAATGGCGTGATTTCACTCTTTTTTATAGCTGAGTAATATTCCATTGTGTGTGTGTGTGTGTATCTCACATGTTTTTATTCATTCATCAATAGATTTTTGGGGCTCTTTCCATAATTTGGCTGTTACTGATAATGCTACTATAAACACTGGGGTATATGTATTTCTTTGAATTAGCATTTTTGTATTCTGTGTGTAAGTACTTAGTAGTGCAATTGCTGGGTCATAGGGTAGTTCTATTTTAACTCCTTGAGGAGTCTCCACACTGTTCTCCAGAATGGCTGCACCAGCTTGTGTTCCCACCAACAGTATAAGAAGATTCTCCTTTCTCCACATCCTCGCCAACACCCATTGTCTCCTGACTTGTTGATTTTAGCCATTCTGACAGGTGTGAGGTGGGATCTCATTGTGGATTTGATCTGCATCTCCCTGATGATCAGTGATGTGGAGCATCTTGTCAGGTGTCTGTTGACCATCTGGATGTCATCTTTGGAAAAATGTCTATTCATGTTTTCTGCCCATTTTTAACTGGATTATTTGTTTTTTGGGGTGTTGAGTTTGACAATTCTTTGAGGATTTTGGATACTAAGCCTCTATCAGAGATATCACTTGGAAATGTCTTTTCCCATTCTGAAGGCTGCCTTTTAGTTTTGTTGTTTCCCTCCTGTGCAGACACTTTTTGTCTTGAAGTCTCAATAGCTGATTTTTTGCTTTTGTTTCCCTTGTCTCTGCCAAGGTGTCTAATAAGAAGTTGCTGTGGCTGAGGTCACAGAAGTTGCTGCCTGTGTTCTCCTCTAGGATTTTCTTTTTTTAAAAAAAGATTTTTATTTATTTATTCATGAGAGACACACACACACAGAGAGGCAGAGACACAGGCAGAGGGAGAAGCAGGCTCCACGCAAGGAGCCCGACGTAGGACTCGATCTCGGGTCTCCAAGATCACATCCTGGGCTGAAGGCAGCGCTAAACCGCTGAGGCACCCGGGCTACCCTCCTCTAGGATTTTGATGGTTTCAGGTCTCACATTTAGATCTTTCATCCATTCTGAGTGTATCTTTGTGTGTGGTATAAGAGAATGGTCCAATTTTCTCAACACCATTTGTTGAAGAGACTGTCTTTTATCCAGTGGAGATTCTTTCCTGCTTTGTCGAATATTAGTTGACCAGAGAGTTGAGGGTCCATTTCTGGATTCTCTATTCTGTTCTATGGATCTATGTGTCTGTTTTTGGGTCAGAACCACACTGTCTTGATGATCACAGCTTTGTAGTACAACTTGAAATACGGCCTTGTGATGCCCTCAGGTTTGTTTTTCTTTTTCAAGATTGCTTTGGCTGTTCAAAGGCTTTCATGATTCCACACACATTTTAGGATTGTTTATTTATAGCTCTGTCAAAAAAGTGGGTGGTATATTGATAGGGATTGCATTAAATGTGAGGCTGCTTTGGGTAATATAGACATTTAAAAAATATTTGTTCCTCCAATCCACAAGCATGGAATGTTTCTCCATCTCTTTGTGCCATCTTCAATTTCTTTCATCTGTGTTTTATAGTTTTCAGAATACAGATCATTTACATCTTTGGTCAGGTTTATTCCTAGTCATCTTACGGTTTTTGGTGCAGTTATAAATAGAATTGATTCCTTGACTTCTCTTTCTGCTGCTTCATTATTACTGTATAGAAATACAACAGATTTCTGTACATTGATTTTGTATTCTGCAATTTTACTGAATTCATGTATCAGTTCTAGCAATTCTTCTGTGGAATCTTTTGGGTTTTCTATATATAGCATCATATCATCTACAAATAGTGAAAGTATGACTTCTTCCTTCCTGATTTGGGTACCTTTTATTTCTTTTTGTTGTCTGACTGCTGAGGCTGGGACTTCCAGCACTATGTTAAATAACAGCGGTGAGAGTGGGCATCCTTATTCCTGAAATTAGAGGAAAAGCTCTCAGTCTTTCCCCATTGAGGATGAGATTTGCTGCGGGTTTCTGTATATGGCCGTTATTATGATGGGGTGTGTTCCCTCTATCTCTACTTTGTTGAGGGTTTCTATCTAGAATGGATGCTGTGCTTTGTCAAATCCCTTTTCTGCATCTATTGAGAGGATCCCATGGGTGCTATCCTGCCTTTTATGCATGTGGTGTATCACACTGATTGATCTGTGAATATCGATCCACCCTTGTGGCGCAGGAATAAATCCCACTTGATCCTGGTGAACGATTCTTTCAATGTACTGTTGGATTTGATTTGCTGGTATCTTGTTGAGAACTTCTGCATCCATGTGCATCAGGGATATTGGCCTCTATTCTGTTTTCAGTGGAGTCTGTCTGGCTTTGGATTGACGGTAACGCTGGCCTCTTAGAATGACTTTGGACGTTTTCCTTCCATTTCTATTTTTTGCAATAGTTTGAGAACAACACGCATTAACTCTTTTTTTTTTTAATCTTTGGAAGAATTCCCCTGTAAAGCCATCTGGCCCTGGCCTTTTGTTTGTTTGGAGATTTTGATGACTGATTTACATTCTTTGCTGGTTATCAGTCTGTTCAAATTTTCTATTTCTTCTTTTTTCTGTTTTGGTAGGTTATGTGTTTCTATTTGTAATTTATCCATGTCTTCCAGGTTGTCCAATGGGTTGGCATATAATTTTTCATACTATTCTCTTAGAATTGTTTGCATTTCTGTGGTGCTGGTTGTGATTTTTCCTCTCTCATTTGTGATTTTATTTATTTGGGACTTTTCTTTTTAAGTCTGGCTAGGGGTTTATCAATTGTATTACTTTTTTTTCAAATAACCAGCTCCTGTTTCATTGATCTCTTCTACTGTTGTTTTAGTTATCGTATCATTTATTCCTGTTTTAATCTCTTATTTACCTTCTTCTGCTGGTGTTACGCTTCATTTGTTGTTCTTTTTCTAGCTCCTTTAGGTGTTAGGTTGTTTCTTTGAAATTTTTCTTGCTTGTTAAGGTAGGCCTGTAATGCAATATACTTCCATCTTAGGACCACTTTTACCCTATCTGAAAGGTTTTATTTTTTTATTTTTCAAAAATTTTTATTTATGATAGTCACACACACACACACACACACACAGAGAGAGAGACAGAGACACAGGCAGAGGGAGAAGCAGGCTCCATGCACTGGGAGCCCGACGTGGGATTTGATCCCGGGTCTCCAGGATCGCGCCCCGGGCCAAAGGCAGGTGCTAAACCGCTGCGCCACCCAGGGATCCCTCAGAAAGGTTTTAGACTACTGTGTTTTCATTTTCATTTGTTTCCACATATTTTAAAAAATTTCTTCTTTAATTTCCCCGTTGACCCATTCATTGCCTAGTACCATGTTGTTTGACCTGCATGTATTTGTGGTCTTCCCAAGTTTTTTTCTTGTGTTTGACTTCCAGTTTCACCAGTGTTGTGGTCAGATAACAGGCACGGTATGATCCTAATATTTTTGTACTTGTTGAGATGTTCTTTGTGACCCAGTATGTGATCTGTTCTGGAGAATGTCCCATGTGTACTCGAAATGAATGTGTATTCTGCTGCTTTAGGATGGAATGGTCTGAATATATCTGCGAGGTCCATCTGGTCCAGCGTGTCATTCGAAGCCATGGTTTCCTTGTTGGTTTTCTGTTCAGATGATCTGGTCATTCCTCTAAGTGGGGAGCTAAAAAGTCCCCTACTATGATTGTAGAATTGTTAGATCTTCTTGTTGGATAGTCCCCTGTACTACGATACAGCACCTTCTTCATCTGTTGTTACAATCTTTGGTTTAGAATGTATTTTATTTGATATAAGTACTGCTACTCCACCTTTTTTTCACGTCGTTAGCACAATAAATCATTCTCCATCCCCTTGCTTTCAATCTGCAGGTATCTTTAGGTCTAAAATGAGTCTTGTAGGCAGCATATAGATGGGTCTTTTTATGCATTCTGACACTCTGTATCTTTTGATTGTTTACTTAGTGCATTTACATTCAGGGTAATTATTGATAGATATGTATTTATTGCCATTTTATTACTTGTATTGTCATTGTTTCTGGAGATTTTCTTGTCTTTGTCAGATTTGGTCTCTCCCTTCCACTAAGAGAGTCTCCTGTGATATTTCTTGCAGTGCTGGTTTAGTGGCTATAAACTCCTTTGGTTTTGTTTGAGAAACTCTCTCTTCTATTCTGAATGATAGCCTTGCTGGGTAGAGTATTCTTGGCTGCAGATTTTTCCATTCAGTACATTGAATATATCATGGTACTCCTTCTGGCTTGCCAAGTTTCTGTGGAGAGGTCTGCAGCTAATGTTATGGATCTTCCTTTGTAAGTAAAGGCTCCTTTTGTCTTGCCGCTTTTAGGACCTTTTCTTTATCACTAGATTGTCCAAATTTAACTCCACTATGCCTTGGTGTTGTCTGCTTTTCTTGATTTTAATGGGAGTTCTATATACCTTCTGGATTTGAATATCTGTTTCCTTCCCCAGATTAGGGAAAATTTCAGCTACTATTTCCTCTTCTGCCCCCCTTTCTTCTTCTGGACTCCTATGATACAGATATTATTACATTTGATGGAGTCACTGAGATCCCTAAGTCTATTCTTCTGTTCCATAATTCTTTCTCCATTTGGTTCAGCCCTATTATTTTCCATTATTTTGTGTTCTTTTAAAAATGTTTTTAGAGGGCACAGAGAGAGAGAGAGAGAGAGAGAGAGAGAGAGAGAGAGAGAGAATGGGGAGAGGGGCATAGGGAGAGGGAGAGAGAGTCTTAAGTAGGCTCCATTCCCAGTGAAGAGCCTGATGCAGGGCTCAATCTTATGACCCTGAGATCATGACCTGATCCAAAATGAAGAGTCTGATTTTTAACCACCTGAGTCATCTAGTTGCCCCATTATTTTGACTTTTATATCGATATTCATTCCTCTGCTTCTTCCATATTTATGGTCATTATATCCAGTTTTTAATCTGTTATTGCATTTTTCATTTATGATTGGTTGTTTTTAAACTCTTTTATCTCTGTAGCAAGGGCCTCCTTGAAGTCTTCTATTCTTTTCTCAAACCTAGTGAGTATCCTTATGATTGTTGTTTTATATTCTCCATTAGGCATGTTACTTATATCTGTTTCACTTGGATCTCTGGCTGTGAACTTTTCTTGTTCTTTTTTGGGGATGAATTCCTCCATCTTGGCATTTTGTCTAGGTCTTTATATTCTTCACTGTGTTAGGAAAGCCTGTTATGGGTGAATGGGTGACGGGCACGGAGGGGGACACTTGACGGGATGAGCACTGGGAGTTATTCTGTATGTTGGTAAATTGAACACCAATAAAAATTAATTTATTTAAAAAAAAAGGAAAGCCTGTTATGTTTCCTGCTCTTGAGAGTAATGGCTTTATGAAGAAGAGTTCATACAGTGTCCAGGGCTGGGTGCTCCAGGGAATGTCTCTTGTATGTGCTGTGTGCACTCTGCTACTGTGTTTTGGCTACTCTTTCCCTCAGGTTAGTCCTCTGCAGTTTCTCCTTGTCTGTAGTCCACAGTGTTCAGAACTTGGGCAGAGCACAGTGAGCTTTATGTAGTTATGCTCTTGTCTACTTGTTAAATGAGACCTGATACCACTTCCACTAATACTGAAGCCTTGCAGAACTCTATGGTTGGTAGATGTGGTGTATGCAGGGGTTTCTACTGGTCTTCTGGTGAGGGGGCCTGCTGCTCTGGTCCTTCGACACGTTTGCAAGAGAAAAGAAATACCAGAAGAGTGCAGTGGAGTGGGACTTTGGGTAAGCAGGTCAGGCAGCCAGCGTGGGCATTTTGCTGTTTACTTAAGTCGGTTTATGCTGAGGGGTAGGGGAGGGAAATGGTGCCAGCCAGCTCCTCTGTCCCTGGAGAAGGGAGTCTGTGCTTGCTGCTCTCAGGGAAGCACCCCCAGAAGAGTGAATGATTTCCCCTCATGTCTTCTAGGCATTTTTCAGATCGGTGTTTTTACACTGTCTCTGGGTTGTTTGCCTGCCTAGAGCAGCACAGTGCACTTTGGACTCTATATCAGCCAAGCCTGATGACTTTTAAAACTCTAATCTTTAGGGGTCTGGTGTGGTGGGGACCTGACCTGGTCTTCTGGGGGATGGTCTCACTATGCTGGGACTGATGCAGGTTTGATCCAGAAGGGCAGTCATGCCACAGCACAGGGGCATGGAATTTGGAACAAAACAGGCTCAACAGCCAGTGTCTGAGTTAGCTGGCTTCAGCAAGTGTCTCTGGACCTATGCTGATGGTGCCTGTAGGCACTTTTGTCCCCAGAGAAGACTGAACATTATCTCCCTGTGTGCCTTAGGCAATCCTCAGATTGCACGGTTTGCCCTGGGGTTACTTGCCTGCCTTCTCACCAGGAGTAGTACCCTCAGGTCTCTATCTCAGCCAAATCCAGGGATCTCTAAAACCAGTCTTTGAGCCCAGCTGGTTGCAAAACCTCATGAAAATCAGCCACTCTTTTTTCCCAGCCAATGGCTTTGGGAAAGTGTTCTCCTTTTGCTCATCCTTACGTGCTCCACTCTCTCTTGCCTTTCTCTGCAACGAGGGTTCCCTCCCTTCCATAGCACTCATGGGTTTCTCCCCCAGACCATGTCTTTGCACTTCTTACCTTCCTCTATGTGGTCTCTCTTCTCTCCTACTTATGCAGTTTGTTCTATCATCCTCAGGTCAATTTCTTGGGTATTCAGAATGATTTGATAGTTAACTGGCTCTGTTTAAGGGACGAGGTAAGTCTAGGGTTCTCCTATGACACTACGATCTTGGCTCCTCTGCTGAATCCCAATTCTACTTCTTACTAGGAGAGCAATCCTGGGCAAGCCACTTACTTATTATATGTCTCAAGTGGCTCATCAGAAGAATAGGGGATAAAATATGTACTCATCAGAATTTCTATAAGGATCAAAAGAAAATAATGGGTGTGAATATATTGGTTAAATGCTATATAGTGTAAGGCAGTATTATTAACAGCTAGTCTCTGAATCAAGCCTTAGAGATCATAATAGGTCAAAACTGGATGATCTTTAGACTCCATCTTATTTAATCCTCTTATGAGATGGGAAAGTTGAGGCCAGTGGGTGGAGGTAGAGGTGGAGGGTACAGGTGTGTATGTAATGGAGTTGTCAATGTTCACACAATTGTTGGAGGGTAGAATTTAGACTACTACCTGGTTCTGTTTACTCAAAGTTAGTGATATTTCTAGTTTATAATGATTCCTGCCACTTTGAGTACCACTAGGCTCAAAAAATATACCAATGACTCTGAAGTCTTCATCATATTTAACATGTAAGTGTTTAAAGATTAGAAATCTGGGCTTCAAATAAAGTACTATAAATGGGAATCCCCTTATTCAGGACACAAAATATTCTGGATTAAAAACAGTGACCATACCCTGTTAAATTATTTTCCTGGTGTTAATACTCTTCAAATTAATTACTGTAGATATTATAAACTCATAAATTACCTGATCAAGCTGATCCTTTCTGCCAACTTCTCTGTGTGTTCTTGAGTGGGAGGGACATTTTCTACAAATGCAATTCCATACAGCAGAAAGTTTTGCAGAAAGTTCTTCAATCCCTCATTGGTTTCTAAGAAGCTCTGGAAATCTATAGATGGAACTTGGGCTTGCTGATAGATTTCAGCATTCCATAAGATTCTAGGTTGGATGACCTTTTGTTTCTGCCCTTCATAGCTGTTTCTCACCAGCCAATCCAAATCATATTTAGTTACATGACCATCTGGCCCTTTAAAGGGAAAAATAAAAGGCATTAAAATAATAGTTATAATTACTGCCAATAATTTACTGGTTAAGAATATTATTTTTAACAACCAATTACCAGATGCTGTATTGTTTATGAAATGAAATTAAAATAAATGCCTAGAATGTTCCTGAGACAGAAATATTTGTAGGGTGAGTAGTATGAAACTAATAAATTAATTAATGAACAAATAAATCTCACCAACTAGAAGGGAATAAATGAATTAGGGCAGTTTGACCTAATGATATGACATAATATAACATGATAAAGTGATTTCCTGACTTTGCCTACTGTGCCAAAAAACCCAAAAAGTTAAAAAAAAAACACCAGCCCCTCAAAAATGCTTTAGAAAGTCTTCAGGATAAGCAAAGGATATAGCAAGGAGAGTGAAAGGCTTTGCTGGCATCTTATCTCTTCTTTCATTTTACTTCTCTGTATCTGTTTCTCTGTATCTGTTTTGGCTTCCTATTTCTTGACAATAAAAGCATCAAAGAATTTGGAAAGCTTGAAAAAGTGTGAGGAAGTTTTTTTAAAAGATTTATTTATTTATTTTAGAGAGAGACAGAGAGAGTGTGTGTACAAGTGGTGGGAGGAGCTGAGGGATTGGGAAAGAGAGAATCTCAAGCACTCTCCACCAACCTGATGTGGGGTTTGATCTCACCACTGAGCCAAAATCAAGAGTCGGATATGTAACCAACTGAGCCACCCAGGCACTCCAGTATGAGGAAAAATTTAAATTTAAAAATCATTTATAGAGGGAGGGGCAAGACGGCGAAAGAGCAGGGTCCCCAAATCACCTGTCCCCACCAAATTCCCTAGATAACCTTCAAACCATCCTGAAAATCTACGAATTCGGCCTGAGATGTAAAGAGAGACCAGCTGGAATGCTACAGTGAGAAGAGTCCGCGCTTCTATCAAGGTAGGAAGACGGGGAAAAAGAAATAAAGGACACAAAAGGCCTCCGAGGGGGAGGGGCCCGCGAGGAGCCGGGCTGAGGCCGGGGCGAGTGTCCCCAGGACAGGAGAGCCCCGTCCCGGAGGAGCAGGAGCTGCACCAACCTTCCCGGCGGGCGGAAAGGGCTCGCAGGGAGTTGGAGCAGGACCCAGGAGGGCGGGGATGCCCTCGGGCTCCCGGGGACACTAACAGACACCTGCGCCCCGGGAGAGTGCGCCGAGCTCCCTAAGGGCTGCAGCGCGCACGGCGGGACCGACCGGAGCAGCTCGGAGGGGCTCGGGCGGCGGCTCCGCGGAGGGGGCTGCGGGGGGCCCGGGAGCAGCTCGGCGGCGGCGGCTTGGGCAGAGGAAGAGGCTCCGTGCGGATGGGGGGGGGGGGCTCGGGCGGCGGCTCCGCGGGGAGCCAGCCTTATTAAAAAGAATTAATATTGTGAAAACGTCAATGTTACCCAGGGCAATTTACACATTTAATGCAATCCCTATCAAAATACCATGGACTTTCTTCAGAGAGTGATAACAAATTATTTTAAGATTTGTGTGGAATCAGAAAAGACCCCGAATAGCCAGGGGAATTTTAAAAAAGAAAACCATATCTGGGGGCATCACCATGCCAGATTTCAGGTTGTACTACAAAGCTGTGGTCATCTAGACAGTGTGGTACTGGCACAAAAACAGACACATAGATCAATGGAACAGAACAGAGAACCCAGAAGTGGACCCTGAACTTTATGGTCAACTAATATTCGACAAAGGAGGAAAGACGATCCGCTGGAAGAAAGACAGTCTCTTCAATAAATGGTGCTGGGAAAATTGGACATCCACATGCAGAAGAATGAAACTGGACCACTCTCTTGCACCAGACACAAAGATAAACTCAAAATGGATGAAAGATCTAAATGTGAGAGAAGAATCTATCAAAATCCTAGAGGAGAACACAGGCAACACCCTTTTCGAACTTGGCCACAGCAGCTTCTTGCAAGATACATCCATTAAGGCAAAAGAAACAAAAGCAAAAATGAACTATTGGGACTTCATCAAGATAAGAAGCTTTTGCACAGCAAAGGATACAGTCCACAAAACTCAAAGACAACCTACAGAATGGGAGAAGATATTTGCAAATAACGTATCAGATAAAGGGCTAGTTTCCAAGATCTATAAAGAACTTATTAAACTCAACAGCAAAGAAACAAACAATCCAATCATGAAATGGGCAAAAGACATGAAGAGAAATCTCACAGAGGAAGACATAGACATGGCCAACATGCACATGAGAAAATGCTCTGCATCACTTGCCATCAGGGAAATACAAATCAAAACCACAATGAGATACCACCTCACACCAGTGAGAATGGGGAAAATTAACAAGGCAGGAAACAACAAATGTTGGAGAGGATGTGGAGAAAAGGGGACCCTCTTACACTGTCGGTGGGAATGGGAACTGGTGCAGCCACTCTGGAAAACTGTGTGGAGGTTCCTCAAAGAGTTAAAGATAGACCTGCCCTACGACCCAGCAATTGCACCGTTGGGGATTTACCCCAAAGATACAGATGCAGTGAAATGCCGGGACACCTGTACCCCGATGTTCCTAGCAGCCATGTCCACAATAGCCAAACTGTGGAAGGAGCCTCGGTGTCCATCGACAGATGAATGGATAAAAAAGATGTGGTTTGTGTATACAATGGAATATTACTCAGCCATTAGAAATGACAAATACCCACCATTTGCTTCGACGTGGATGGACCTGGAGGGTATTATGCTGAGTGAAGTAAGTCAGTCGGAGAAGGACAAACATTGTATGTTCTCATTCATTTGGGGAATATAAATAATAGTGAAAGGGAATATAAGGGAAGGGAGAAGAAATGTGAGGGAAATATCAGAAAGGGAGACAGAACATGAAGACTCCTAACTCTGGGAAACGAACTAGGGGTGGTGGAAGGGGAGGAGGGCGGGGGATGGGGGTGAATGGGTGACGGGCACTGAGGGGACACTTGACGGGATGAGCACTGGGTGTTATTCTGTATGTTGGTAAATTGAACACCAATAAAAAATAAATTTATTATTAAAAAAAAGGATCCACTTATTCTAAAAAAAAAAATCACTTATATATACCATTCTACCACACAGATGAAACCATTATTTATAGCTTGGCATCATTCCTTCCACTTTTTCCCCATGCATTCTTTTATTTTATATAAATATAGTACATATATATATATATATATATGTTTGTACCCTGCTTTTGTCACTTAATATATGGAGTCACTTCATCATTAAAAAATTAAATCTTCACCTACAATTGTTTGTTTTCTTAAATTCACAGACTCTTAACTATAGAAAACAAACAGATGGTTACCAGAGTGGGGATGGGTGAAATAGGGGCTAAGTATTAAGGAGGGCACTAGTGATGTGCACCAGGTGTTGTATGCAACTGTTGAATCACTAAATTCTACACCAGAATCTAATATTACACTCTATGTTAACTAACTGGAATTTAAATTAAAACTTAAAAATTAAATCTTCATAAATATTAATTAATATAATTTGCAGAATAAGACTACCAAGATTTACCTAACCAGTCTGTTCTTCTGGAGCATGTAGTCTTATTTTTTAAAAATTTCCTTATTATTTAATAGTGATCATCCTTGTCTATATTTCTTTTCATTTTTTAAAGATGGATTTTTTAGAGAGAGAGAGCATGCAAGTGTGGAGAGGGGCAGAGGTAGACAGAGAACCTGAAGCAGATTCTGCAGTGAACAGAAAGCCTCATGCGGGGCTTGATCTCACCACCCTGAGATCACCCTGAGTGGAAACCAAGAGGCAGGCGCTCAAATGACTGAGACACTCAGGTGCCCCATTTTTCTATATTTCTGATAATCTTCTCAAGAAGGTAGGATTGTTAAATTCAAAGATAGAAACTTTTAAGAGCCTTGATGGATTTAACTAAATTATTAAGGCAACCTTATTATTAAGAAGTCTATACCAATTTTTGTTGTCTTCAAAAATATGTGTGTGCCCTTCAAAATTAAGTATTCTTATTTTTAAAAATATATATATATTTTTCCAGATTGGCAAGTAGAATTCTATTGTTATAATAATTCTAATTCATTCACTTACTAATAAGGCTAATAACATTTGTTGGAGATTTATATTTGTTAGACATATGTCTTTTATTTTTATTATTTTTTTGTTTCAAGTTTTTATTTAAATTCCAGTTAGTTATCATACAGTTAAATATTAGTTTCAGGTGTACAATACAGTGGTTGAACACTTCCATACATCACCCAGTACTCATCACAACAAATGCCCTCCTTAATGCTCATCACCCATTTAATCCATTTCCCCACCACTTGCACTCCAGCAACTCTCAGTTTGTACTATATAGTTAAGAGTCTCTTTTATGGTTTGCTTCTCTTTTTGTTTTTCCCTTCCCCATGTTCATCTGTTTTCTTTCTTAAATTTCACATATGAGTGAAATCATATGGTATTTTCTTTCTCTGACGGACTTATTTTGCTTAGCAAAATACTCTCTACCTCTAACCATGTTGTTGCAAATGGTAAGATGTCATTCTTTTTGATGGCTGAGTAATATTCCATTCTTTATCCATTCTTCTTTATCCATTCATCAGTCAATGGACATTTGGGCTCTTTCCATAATTTGGTTGCTGCTGATAATGCTGCTACAAATATCGGGGTGCATTTGCTCTTTTGAATGAGTATTTTTGTATCCTTTGGGTAAATACCCAAAGTATAATTGCTGGATCATAAGGTAGTTCTATTTGTAACTTCTTGAGGACCCTCTATGTTGTTCTCCAGAGCGGCTGCAACAGCCTGTGCTCCCACCCACACAGTACAAGAGGGTCCCCCTTTCTCCACATCCTCACCAACACCTGTTGTTTCCTGACTTGTTGATTTTAGCCACTCTCACAGGTGTGAGGTGGGATCTCATTGTGGTTTTGAGTTGTATTTTCTTTTCTTTTTTTTTAATTTAAAGATTTATTTATTTATTTGTGATAGAGAAAGAGAGAGAGAGAAAGAGAGGCAGAGACACAGGAGGAAGGAGAAGCAGGCTCCATGCGGGAGCCTGACGTGGGACTCGATCCCGGGACTCCAGGATCGCACCCTGGGCCAAAGGCACTAAACTGCTGAGCCACCCAGGGATCCCCTGTATTTTCCTGAGGATGACTGATGTCAAGCATCTTTCCATGTATCTGTTGGCCACTGTATAGACATATGTTTTTTAAATGCAAGGATTACCCAACTATTGCCCATGGGCCAAATCTGCCTGGCAGTTGTCTTTGTGACACCTGTTTTGGAACACATGACACACACTTGGTTACTTATTGTCCATATCTGCTTTCACCCTACTACTGAAGAACTGAAGAGTTGAACAGTTGTGACTGACACTGTACAGCCAAAAATACTGGTGCTTTTCTTTACAAACTGGCAATAACACCTTATATGTCAATAGTTTCTAGTCTTTGTCATACATTTCTCAAATATCTTACCAAGTGAGTCATTTTTTAATAAAACTTTCTATGGCATGTACTTTTTTTTACTGTAGAGAAATCACTAGTCAAACATATTGATTTTAAATATTTTTTCCTCCAATGCTTTTTTCTTTTAACCTATTTTGGAAGAATTATACATTCACAGGAAGTTGCAAAGAAATGTGTTTATTCAGGGACACCTGGGTGGCTCAGTGGTTGGGCGCCTGCCTTTGGCTCAGGTCATGATCCTGGGATCTAGGATTGAGTCCCACATGGGGCTCCCTGCAGGGAGCCTACTTCTCCCTCTCCCTCTCCTTCTCCCTTCTCCCTGCCTATGTCTCTGCCTCTCTCTCTCAGTCTCTGTCTCTCATGAATAAATAAATTAATCTTAAAGAAAAAAATGTATTTATTCAGTAAATAGACCCAATAGTTGGAGGAAACAAAATTAATATACAGAAATCTGTTGTATATCTATACACTAATAATCATGTAGCAGGAAAAAATGAAGAAAACAATCCCATTTAAAACTGAACCAAAAAGAATGGAATACCTAGGAATGAATTTGACCAAGGAGATGAGAAACCTATACCCGAAAAGTATAAGACATTCATGAAAGAAGTTGAAGACAACACAAAAAAATGGAAAGAAATCCAATACTTACGGATTGGAAGAACTAATATTGTTAAAATGTTCACACTACCCAAACCAATCTACAGATTGAATGCCATCTCTACCAAAATACCAACAGCATTTTTCACAGAACTAGAACAAATAATCCTAAAATTCGTATGAAACCACAAAAGACCCTGAATAACCAAAGCAATCCTGAGAAAGAAGAGCAAACCTGGAGGCATCACCATTCCAGATTTTGATATATACTACAATGCCATAGTAATCAAAATGGTGTAGTCCTGGTACAAAAACAGACACATAGATCAATGGAACAGAATAGAAAACCCAGAAATGGACCCTCAAGTATATGGTCAGCTAATATTCAACAAAGAAGGAAAGAATATCCACTGGGAAAAAGACAATCTCTTCAATTAATGGTGTTGGGGAAACTGGACAGCCACATGCAGAAGAATGGAACTGGAACATTCTCTTACACCAGGCACAAATATAAACTCAGAATGAATGAAAGACATAAATGTGAGACCTGAAACTATACCAATCTTGGAAGAGAACAGAGGCAATAACTTTTTTGACATCAGATGTAGCAACTTCGTAGATATGTATCCTGAGGCAAGGGAAACAAAAGCAAAAATAAACTACTGTGATTTCATCAAGATAAAAAGCTTCTGCACAGCAAAGGAAACCATCAATAAAACCAAAAGGCAATCCAATAAATAAGAGAAGATATTTATAAATGATAGATTCAATAAGGGGTTAATATCCAAAATATATTAAGAACTTGCACCCACTCAACATGGAAAAAAACCAATCTGATTAAAAATGGGCAGAGAACTCAAACATTTTTCCAAACAAGACATCAGACAGCCAACAAACACATGGAAAGATGCTCAACATCACTTATTATTAGGGAAATGCAAATCAAAACCACAATGAGGTGTCACCTTACACATGAGAATGCCTAATATCAGAAAGACAAGAAATAACTAATTGTTAAGAATGTGGAGAAAAGGGATCACTTATGCACTGTGGGTGGGAATGTTAATTTGTGCAGTCACTGTGGAAAATAGTATGGGGGTTCCTCAAAAAATAAAAATAGAGGGATGTTGCCTGGGTGGCTCAGCAGTTGAGCATCTGCCTTCAGCTCGGGGTCCTGGGATCAAGTCCCACATCGGGCTCCTCACAGTGAACCTACTTCTCCCTCTGCCTATGTCTATGCCTCTCTCTGTGTGTCTTTCATGAAAAAAATAAATAAAATATTTTTAAAAATTAAATTAGAAATACCATATGATCCAATAATTCCAGTATTGGGTAAATACCCAAAGAAAACACTATTTTTTTAAAATTTCTTTTTATTGGAGTTCAGTTTGCCAACATATAGCATAACACCCAGTGCTCATCCATCCCGTCAAGTGCCCCCCTCAGTGCCCATCACCCAGTCACCCCCACCACCCGCCCTCCTCCCTTTCTACCACCCCTTGTTAGTTTCCCAGAGTTAGGAGTCTCTCATGTTCTGTCTCCCTCTCTGATATTTCCCACTCATTTTCTCTCTTGGAGAATATAAAAAATAGTGAAAGGGAATAAAGGGGAAAGGAGAGAAAACACTAATTTGAAAAGATATATGCACCCCTATGTTTAGTGCAGCTTTACAATAGTCAAGATATGGAAGCAACTCAAGTGACCTTAAATAGATGAATGGATAAAGAAGATGTGGCATATACACACAATGGAATATTAATCAGCCATAAAAAAGAATGAGATCTTGCCATTTGCAAAAACATGGATGGACCTTAAGGTATCTGTTAAGTGAAAGAAGTCAATCAGAAAGACAAATACCACATGACTCCATTTATATGTGGAATCTAAAAAATAAAACAAGTGAACAAACCAAAAACCAGAACCTTAAATAAAAGCAAAATGGTGGCTTTTGGTGGGGGCAGGGGAGGAGGGATATAATAGGTGAAGGGGATTAAGAGGCACAAACTTCCAGTTATAAAATTAAGTCACAGAGATGAAAGGTATTATATAGGGAATATACAGTCAATAATATCATAATAACATTGCATGGTCATAGATGGTGACTACACTTATTGTGAGCACTGAGTAAAGGTTAGAATTGTTAAATCAATGTCATACACCCGAAACTAATAAAACAGTGCATGTTAATTATACCTCAATAAAAAAATAGAATACCCTACTTTAGAACAGGACAAACCAGGTTTTGCAAAAATAATTGTTCTTTAGAAGAATACCCCAGCCAAGACCAAGTCTCTTGTCTACTCACAAGTGAAAAAGAGTGTGGTCTCATCCAGACGAATGGTTTTTGGCTTGATGCATAAATCCACACTGGCAGTATCCAGGCTGCGCTGGTGAGTCTTAGAGTTGTAGCATGATGCTGAGCGGCAGTGGTCTCGAAGCCAGACATAATCAAAGCGCATCACGGTGTTAGCATATTGCAGTTCTAGGGAAAGGGATTCTTTTATATTATTTGTTATATTATTTTGCACTGTTTATTTTATAGAGATAAATAAATATTTATTTAGGAAAACTTAAGAACAATTAGTAGTCAGAAAACTTTCTTCAAAAAGTCTTCTACCAAGAAACAAACAAGAGTACTAAGGAGAACACTAGTCCCCTACCAAATATAAAAGATACTGTAGAACTTCTACGATTAAAACAGTAAGATGCTAGGATAGGAATAGCATATAAAACAACAAAAGAATATAAAATGTTGGGATCCCTGGGTGGCTTAGAGGTTTAGCACCTGCCTTCAGCCCAGAGCATGATCCTGGAGTCCTGGGATGGAGTCCCGCGTCGGGCTCCCTGCATGGAGCCTGCTTCTCCCTCTGCCTGTGTCTCTGCCTCTCTCTCTCTCTCTCTCTCATGAATAAATAAAATCTTTTTAAAAAATAAAAATAAATAAAAAATAATATAAAATGTCCAAAATATACCTAAATGCATATAGAAATTCGGTATCTAATAAACTGACAGCTATAATCACTGGCAAAAATAGGAATTTTAAAATAACAACTAGATAGCCATTTGGAAAAAAGATACAATTGCATCCCTGCCTCACATAGTCGCCAGGTCTCCAAGATAAACTCAAAACAGATCAGAGTTCTAGATTTGGAAAATAAAACCAGTGAAGTATTTTAAAAGGAAATACAGGTGGATAGAGGATATAAAAGATAAAAGAGGTAGTTGTACTACTGTTGCAACTTTTTTGTTAGTTTGAAGTCATACCAAAATAAAAAGTTAACAAAAATCAAAGACTCTCCTATTATACCAGGTTACTCACTCAGGAAAGGTAAATAAAAATGAGATTAAACTTCTAAGAGGAATGAAAGCTGTAATGTGTCTCGGAATAAAAAATTATGTGGAAGACTGCTATAGAGAAAACAATAAAACTAATCCTGAAGGGCTTGAGGAAATCTGAATGGAGAAATATGCTCAAACATGGGCAGATTCAATAATGAAAAGATACAAATTTTCCCACAAATTAATCCACAAAATTCCATGTACTTCCAATCCAAATTCCCATAGAAATTTTCATGTACTGGACAGGCTAATTCTAAAATTTCCCATTCAGAATTAATAAACTTATAATTTTGAAGAAAAAAGAAAGGCATGGGGGAACTGTCTTACTAAAAATAAACAATATTACATATAAAGCTACAGTGAATCAAAAAGTAAGATGAATAGGTCAAAACAGTATGGAGATTCCTCAAAAAGTCAAAAATAGAATAACCCCTGACCCAGCAATTGTACTACTGGTAAAGAAAACAAAGATACTAAAGAAAACAAAAATACTAATTCAAAGGGGCACATGCACCTTGATGTTTATAGCAGCATTATCAGCAACAGCCAAATAAAGGGATAAAGAAGAGGTGGCACATACATATGACGGAATAGCACTCAGCCATAAAAAAGAATGAAATCTTTGCAATGACATGGATGGAACTAGAGTATATCATGCTAACTGTAAGAAATCTGTCAGAGAAAGACAAATACCATATGATTTCACTCATGTGGAATTTAAGAAACAAAAAAGATGAACATAAGGGAAAGGGAAAAAAAGACAAAGCATAAGAGACTCTTAACTATAGAGAAGAAACTCAGGGTTGATGGAGGGGAGGTGGGTAGGGGATGGGATGGATGGATGATGGGTACGACGGAGGGCACTTGTGATGAGTACTGAGTGTGCTATATAAAAGATGAATCACGAAATTCTGCTCTTGAGACTAACATTAGACTATATTTTATTTTTTTTATAAATTAATTTTTATTGGTGTTCAATTTACCAACATACAGAATAACACCCAGTGCTCATCCCGTCAAGTGTCCCCCTCCGTGCCCGTCACCCATTCACCCCCACCCCCCGCCCTCCTCCCCTTCCACCACCCCTAGTTCATTTCCCAGAGTTAGAAGTCTTTATGTTCTGTGTCCCTTTCTGATATGGACCCTGAACTTTATGGTCAACTAATATTCGACAAAGGAGGAAAGACGATCCACTGGAAGAAAGACAGTCTCTTCAATAAATGGTGCTGGGAAAATTGGTCATCCACATGCAGAAGAATGAAACTGGACCACTCTCTTGCACCATACACAAAGATAAACTAAAAATGGATGAAAGATCTAAATGTGAGACAAGACTCCATCAAAATCCTAGAAGAAAACACAGGCAACACCCTTTTTGAACTTGGCCACAGTAACTTCTTGCAAGATAGACTATATTTTAAGTAAAATTTAAATTAAAATGAAATATTAAAATAAATGAAATATAAAAAATAAAACTATTACACATTGGAGTGGCTCAGTCGGTTAAGCATCTACCTTAGGCTCAGGTCATGATCTCAGGGTCCTGGGATGGAGCACTGATTTGGGCTCCTTGCTGAGCAGGGAGTCTGCTTCCCCCTCTGCCCCTCCCCTGCTTATATCCTCTCTTTTTTCCCCTCTCTCTTTCAAATAAATAGAATCTTAAAAAAAAAACTATTATACAATGACAATCTTGGGGTAGGAATGGACATTTTAATATGATACAAAATTCATAAAAGATAAATCCGTCTATACGAAAATAAAAACCTGTTTTGTAAACAATATAAAAAACCAAAATTAAGTGACAAGTTCTTGAACTACAGGATCTATAGAATAAAATGTAAAATTGTGTTTGTAGGGCGGCCCGGGTGGCTCAGTGATTTAGCGCCGCCTTCAGCCCAGGGCCTGATCCTGGAGACCTGGGATCGAGTCCCATGCCGGGCTCCCTGCATGGAGCCTGCTCCTCCCTCTGCCTGGGTCTCTGCCTCTTTCTCTCTCTGTCTCTCTCTCTCATGAATAAATAAATAAAAATCTTTTAAAAAATTGTGTGTAAGTAGTAGTCCTACATTTTTCTATGGACAGGATCCATAGCTTTCAACACAATTCCTACGGGATTCGTAACCTAAAAATATTGAGAACCCTGCCCTTGGAGTGACAAAAGTGATTAACTTAATTCAGATTGTTCATTACACTGAACTAATCCAGGATTTGACAAACAGCTTATGGGTCAAATAGAGCCATGTCCTATTTTTTGTATAGCTTGCAAGATAAGAATAGCTTTTACATTTTAAAAATGTCATAAAACAAAACAAAAATAAAATGTCATAAAACAAAAACAAAACAAAGAAGACCATGAAACATAGATTTTGCATGACCCATAAAGCCTGAAATATTTACTATCTGGCCCAGTAAGCAGTCATGTGTAACTCTTCTTTCCATGACTGAGTTCATTCTGGACTTTGCACTTGCCATTGTCCTCCTTGAAATTATAAGTTCTTCTAATTTTTTAAAAGATTTTATTTATTTATTCATGAGGAACACAGAGACACAGAGAGAGAGGCAGAGACACAGGCAGGGGGAGAAGCAGACTCCCTGCAGGGAGCCTGATGCGGGACTTGATCCTAGGACCCTGAGATCACGCCCTGAGCTGAAGGTAGACACTCAACTGCTGATCCACCCAGGTACCCCGTAAGCTCCCCTGATTAAATGACGATTTTTTTCCTTCAAAGTCTAGCTAAAAATTCATTTATTCAAGGAAGCTTCCTTGAACAATCCTACATTTTCTTTGAAATTATGTATTTGGTAGGTAACAAGTTTTTTTAACCTTTAAGGAGCTTTTTTATTTTTAGATTTTATTCATTTATTCATGAGAGAGAGAGAGAGACAGAGAGAGAGAGAGAGAGAGAGAGAGGCAGAGACACAGGTGGAGGGAGAAGCAGGCTCCATGCAGGGAGCCCAACACGGGACAGGATCGGGGTCTCCAGGATCCGGCCCTGGGCTGAAGGTGGCGCTAAACCACTGAACCACCGGGGCTGCCTGTGGGTAACACCTTAATATGCATTTGTATATGGCATAAGGTATTCATGCTTCTTATGTTTATTTAGTATTTTATATTTCTTGGGATACCACATCTTACATCTTGGTTCCCTAGAAGTTGTCAGCTATACATAAAATTGATAGTACACAAATGTCTAGTAACTAGGCCAACATGAAATATACAGAAAAGAAACTTGGGATTCATCTTGTCTCATCTTTGTCATAATCTACATTTAATCAGTCACCAAAGTTTGCTGATTTCACCTCCTAAATGTTATTTTTTTTTCTCCTAAGTCTTTCTAAAATCTATATGACCTCTCCATTTCTAGTCCTTTCTTCTATCATATTTAGGCAATCACCATCTTTAACAGTGGCCTCTATAGTTTTTTTTTGTATTAATATGATGGCCTTATTTTTTGAGAGTTTTTTTTTAATTTGATAAATTAATTTTTATTGGTGTTCAATTTACCAACATACAGAATAACACCCAGTGCTCATCCAGTCAAGTGTACCCCTCAGTGCCCGTCACCCATTCACCCCCACCCCCCGCCCTCCTCCCCCTCCACCACCCCTAGTTCATTTCCCAGAGTTAGAAGTCTTTATGTTCTGTCTCCCTTTCTGATATTTCTCACACATTTCTTCTCCCTTCCCTTATATTCCCTTTCACTATTATTCATATTCCCCAAATGAATGAGAACATACACTGTTTGTCCTTCTCCGGTTACTGTGGCCAAGTTCAAAAAGGGTGTTGCCTGAGTTCTCCTCTGGGATTTTGATGGAATCTTGTCTCACATTTAGATCTTTCATCTATTTTGAGTTTATCTTTGTGTATGGTGCAAGAGAGTGGTCCAGTTTCATTCTTCTGCATGTGGATGTCCAATTTTCCCAGCACCATTTATTGAAGAGACTGTCTTTCTTCCAGTGGATCGTCTTTCCTCCTTTATCGTATATTAGTTGACCATAAAGTTCAGGGTCCACTTCTGGGTTCTCTGTTCTGTTCCATTGATCTATGTGTCTGTTTTTGTGCCAGTACCACACTGTCTTGATGACCACAGCTTTGTAGTACAGCCTGAAATCTGGCATTGTGATGCCCCCAGCTATGGTTTTCTT